CAGGTGTATTTGCGGCGAGGCAGATGCTGACGAATATGGATTGCATGGCCTGCACTGTGGAAAATCTGGTGGTTGGCACACTAGACACGACGAAGTCAATGACATCATTAAAAGAAGCCTTGCCTTTGCTCAGTGTCCAGCGGAGAGAGAGCCCCGCAACCTACTAAACCGTGACTGTTAGCTTTGCCGGCCGACCAGACGGAATCACACTGCGACCATGGAAGGGTGGCAGACAGTTGGCATGGGACTATACTTGTGTATCCACCCTGGCAACCACATACATCAACCTCTCTGCCGGCACAGCAGGAGCCGCGGCGACACGCAGAGAAAGAGACAAGTCAGCCAAGTACAGGCAATTAGATCATCGGTACAACTTTGTTCCAAAAGGGTCTGAGACCCTAGGCCCATGGGGAGAGAGTGCAAGAAGGTTTCTTAAGGATCTTGGTTCCAAGCTCATTGATACCACAAGAGACCCCTAGAGCAGCAAGTTTTCTCTTTCAGCGCCTCAGTGTCGCGATCCAGAGGGGGAATGCTCACTGCGTCCTCGGTTCCTGCCCGGCGTCGTAGGAGTTCGAGGAAATCTACAGCCTCTAGGAAGCGAACTTTTTTTTGTATCCTCTCAATGTTAATTTGTTGTATAAAATCAGGTATGTAACTGTATAACCTTGCATAATAAAGTGTACACCATAAAAAGAGGTGGGGTGGTAGGAGAAGCGAACACTCTTACGCATTCAGAGTTAAATGGCAAGTTTTTTCCTGAATGCTCTGTGTTACCTTCTCTGAGGCTGTGGGTCCCTATAATTGCACCAGAGGTGGTACCCCCCTTTATATATATATATATATATATATATATATATATATATATATATATATATATATATATATATATATATATATATATATGTATATACCCATACTTACGACCAGCCAGCACATAATAGAGCAAATAAAGGTTGTTTTGCCTGATATTCATTCAACCAACTCTGAGGACAGCACACTCCTAGGTGCTCCTCTTGGAGGGAATGCCTATATTTTCACACCACTGAATTGTAAATCCTCTAAATGTAAATAACCACTAAATGTAATTCCTGAATTGTAACTCACCCTACAATTTACCACCGCTGCCTTCGCAGACAGAAAATCATTAGGATCCTGGCTGAATCCAATAAAGCCAAACCTACTTCCACCACCAGAGCCACTGGTACCAAATCCAACACCTCAGCTCCCACCCACCTACCATAAGACTTCCCAGTCCTACCAAACAGTGGCTCATTTCAGCAAGCTTCCCGGCCTCCATATTAGGAATCTAAGCACCCTCACAGTCCCTTGCATTACGTGCAGTCATTATCCGTGGTCTTATTCGACTAGCGGAGAGGCATGCCAGACCAGACAATCAACGATTCATCAGTGAACTCAACACGCTAAACCTAGTTAACGGCCTTGACCTCATCATCGCCAAGGACGCAAGTCTCCCTGCCTCCACTACCATTCCGAAGACTTCCACCAGGATGATCTATATCGATCTCAACACAGACTCCATAACCACCCAAGACCCGGTTGGCACAAAGAAAGGTATTTCCCTCTCCAGCTCCCAACACTTCTACCATCACCACCTCAGCAGACGTGCTGCCTACATCTACTAACAGAAATACCAACCCTACTGAAATAGCTTCTCCCATTAGTCCACGACACCTGAGGGTACCGCAGACTGTGAGACCAAAGACAAAACCACCAACTGTTATGGACTCCTCAGACGAGTAGGAGCTCCACCGCTGCATCACAAATACGACACCTACTCAGTACAAGGTATTTTGTTTTTAGCCTGTTTCCACAGCCTATTTTCATTACCTTACTTTTACTTGAGTTGAACTTTAGTAGCCATTTGTTGGACCATTCGTTCAGTCTGTCTAGGTCATCTCGTAGCCCCATGCTATCTTCCTTTGTCTTAATCTTCCTCATAATTTTTACATCATCATCAAAATGCCGACCCCAACCACCCCCCTTCAAGGATAACATAGGGTCCACCCCAACCACCCCCTCTTCAAGGGTAACATAAGGCCCGACCCAACCACCCCCTCTTCAAGGGTAACATAAGGCCCGACCCCAACCACCCCCCTATTCAAGGGTAACATAAGGCCCGACCCCAACCACCCCCTCTTCAAGGGCAATATAAGGCCTGATATGCTATAATTTAAATGGCTTTCATTTTATATACCTGCATTTGGGTGAGGTGATATGTTACAACAGTTTTGGATGAGGTGAAAACACAAGACAGAACACGAAACAATGGATATAATATTGGGTAAGTTTAAAGGGAAGAATGGAAGTAACTGGAAATGGCCTATTGGTCCATATTTCTTGATGCTTCTATATTGGTGTGGAGTCTTGAAGTGGGTAGAATATAGTTGTGCATTAATTGGCTGTTGATTGCTGGTGTTGACTTCTTGATGTGTAGTGTCTCACAGATTTCAAGCCGCCTGCTATCGCTGTTACAGCGATAGCAGGCCGCTTACTTTTTCGGTCATATTTATATATATATATATATATATATATATATATATATATATATATATATATATATATATATATATATATATATGTCGTACCTAGTAGCCAGAACGCACTTCTCAGCCTACTATCCAAGGCCCGATTTGCCTAATAAGCCAAGTTTTCCTGAATTAATATATTTTCTCTAATTTTTTTCTTATGAAATGATAAAGCTACCCATTTCATTATGAATGAGGTCAATTTTTTTTATTGGAGGTAAAATTAACGTAGATATATGACCGAACCTAACCAACCCTACCTAACCTAACCTAACCTATCTTTATAGGTTAGGTTAGGTTAGGTAGCCGAAAAAGTTAGGTTAGGTTAGGTTAGGTAGGTTAGGTAGTCGAAAAACAATTAATTCATGAAAATTGGCTTATTAGGCAAATCGGGCCTTGCATAGTAGGCTGAGAAGGGCGTTCTGGCTACTAGGTACGAACCTAACCAACCCTACTTAATAATAATATCTTTATAGGTTATATATATATATATATATATAATATATAGGCTTATTATATATATAGGCTATATATATATATATATATATATATATATATATATATATATATATATATATATATATATATATATATATATATATATATATATATATATATATATATATATATATATATATGTATATATATATATATATATATGTCGTACCTAGTAGCCAGAACGCACTTCTCAGCCTACTATGCAAGGCCCGATTTGCCTAATAAGCCAAGTTTTCATGAATTAATTGTCTTTCGACAACCTAACCTACCTAACCTAACCTAACCTAACTTTTTCGGCTACCTAACCTAACCTAACGTATAAAGATAGTTAGGTTAGGTAGGGTTGGTTAGGTTTGGTCATATATCTACGTTAATTTTGACTCCAATAACAAAAAATTGACCTCAAACATAATGAAATGGGTAGCTTTATCATTTCATAAATTGGGCAAAATTAACGTGCATATATGACCGAACCTAACCAACCCTACCTAACCTATACCTATACATATATATTTATAGGTCATAGGTTAGGTTAGGTAGCCGAAAAAGTTAGGTTAGGTTAGGTTAGGTAGGTTAGGTAGTATTAATTCATGAAAACTTGGCTTATTAGGCAAATCGGGCCTTGCATAGTAGGCAGAGAAGGGCGTTCTGGCTACTAGGTACGATATATATATATATATATATATATATATATATATATATATATATATATATATATATATATATATATATATATATATATATATATATATATATATATATATATAATATAATATTTTCCGTATTGTGCATGCAGCCAATAGCTGTTTACATAGTTAAATATAAATAGCACTAATTATATTTCCTTATGTATCTAATTCACACTAATACAAATATAGCTAATACTTACAAATATATCTTCTAAGGGGGAGTACCCGGCTGTGCTTGGGACTTCTTTCTCCTTTCTTCTCACTTCTCTCCTTCTTCCTTCTCACCCCTCTTCTCTCCTTGCCATCTATCCTTCTCTATCTCCCACTCTCCAGCATCTCTCATCTTCGTCCTCCATCCTCCTCCCATCACACTTCCTGCCCCTCTCCATATTTTCTCCCCATCTCTTCCTCCCTCTCTCCTCTCCACGTGTCTTCCCCCTCTCTCCTTTCCTCTCGTCAGTCATTCTTCTTCTCCTACCCTCTCTTTAAAAATCTCCCCCTCTCCCTATTCATGCTTTTCTCCCTATGTCTGTCTGTCTGTCTTTGTCTGTTTCTGTGTGTTGTTATCTGCCTGACTCTATTTATCTTCCTGTCTTCCTGTCTATTTTTCTTTGCCCTGGTCGACCCGGTTCCTCAACTGTCCTGTCTTTGTACGTCTGTTTGTCTCTGTACGTCTCCTTCTCTTTGTACGTCTCTGTCTCTGTACGTCTCTTGGTCTCTGTACGTCTTTCTGTCTCTGTACGTCTCTCTTTCTCTGTACGTCTCTCTGTCTCTGTATGTCTCTCTGTCTCTGTACGTTCCTTTGTCACTGTACCACTCTCTGTCTCTATCAATTTCTCATTTTGCAATGGATCATTCGGTGAGTCTATCATGGTCTGGCTTTCATACAGACATTTATTCACAAATTCATACACGCATTGGTGCACACATTCATCTTGAGGTTATCTTGAGATGATTTCGGGGCTTTTAGTGTTCCCCGCGGCCCGGTCCTAGACCAGGCCTCCACCCCCAGGAAGCAGCCCGTGACAGCTGACTAACTCCCAGGTACCTATTTACTGCTAGGTAACAGGGGCATTCAGTGTGAAAGAAACTTTGCCCATTTGTTTCTGCCTCGTGCGGGAATCGAACCCGCGCCACAGAATTACGAGTCCTGCGCGCTATCCACCAGGCTACGAGGCCGCACACATTCATACACTCCTCACTCCCTCTTATTCCCTCAGAAGTAAGGCAAAAGAAAGAAGGTCAGATGTGAAGTAGCACAGATTACCTTGTGGACAGCTCACTGACATTCCTCTTGCACCTCTCGTGTTCCTCTTCCATCAAGCGACTTTTTTCTGTTATTTTATTCTTTTCCTCTTGAATACTTCTGAGTTGCTGTGCCTGTCTGTTTTTATCACTCTGTAGAGCCGTGTTTCCTACCCGTAACTTTCTGGCCTCTTCTTCAATGACGGAGAGTTGCTCTTCAACAAGTCTTTTCTCTCCTCCTATGTTATTATTCATCTCTTGCAGCTGTTGTGTCTCTCGTTCTAGCTCAGCGATCCTCGTCAACGCTGTCTTGACTCTCTCCTGGGCTTGGGTCTCCGCAAGCTCCAGCTGTCGGTTCCTCGTCTTGACCAGCCTCGAGTCCTCCTCCACTTGTCGGATCTGAGACTTTAATTGAATATTTTCCAAGTGAGAAATGCGCAGTTCGTTCTTAGTCTTCATGATGTCCTCCTTGACCAGCCTCGAGTCCTCCTCCATTTGACGAATGTCAGCCATTACACGACGATTCGCCTCCTCTGATAAGCGAACATCGTTCTTAGTCTTCCTGTTTTCTTCTTCGACCAGCCTCGAGTCTTCCTCCGCTTGACGGATCTCCTCCTTGACCAGCCTCGAGTCCTCCTCCACCTGACGAATCTGGGACAGTAATTGAATATTTTCCTCCTGCGTAAAGCGCACTTCGTTCCTAATCTTCATGTTATCCTCCTTGACCAGTCTCGAGTCCTCCTCCATTTGACGGATCTCCTCCTTGACCAGCCTCGAGTCCTCCTCCACTTGAAGGATCTGGGACTTTAACAGGACAATCTCCTCCTGAGCAAGACGCACTTCGTTCCAAGCCTTCCTGTTGTCCTCCTTGACCAGCCTCGAGTCCTCCTCCACTTGACAGATCTCCTCCTTGACCAGCCTCGAGTCCTCCTCCACTTGACGGATCTGGGACTTTAATAAGACAATCTCCTCCTGAGCAAGACGCACTTCGTTCGTAGTCTTCCTGTTGTCCTCCTCGTGCAAATGAATCGTTGTATTTGGGCGAGTGTTTTCCTCCTCCAGCTTGAGGTTGTCAGCTTGGTGAGCCTTGTTGACACACTCCAGCTGGTCCAGAGTGTCCAGGAGGCGGCGGGTGGCGTTCTCCCTCTCCTTCACACCTGCCAACACATCAAATATTAAGGTATATTTTATCTAAATATAAATTATAATTGGTGTATATATAAAATTTTAATTTTGAAGGAAATAGCATCATCCGTGAATTGCTTCTGGTCTTACCGCTGAATGTCTAGCCACTCTTTAAACACTTGTATGTAAATGGAAACATTTTATCATGTTACCCTCTTCATGAAGCACACTCCTGGCCAAACTGTGCTCGCCAGGCCCTGAAGTATGCTCCAGGACTTGAAGTACGCTCCAGGCCCTGAAGTATGCTCCAGGACCTGAAGTATGCTCCAGGCCCTGAAGTATGCTCCAGGCCCTGAAGTATGCTCCAAGACCTGAAGTATGCTCCAGGACTTGAAGTACGCTCCAGGCCCTGAAGTATGCTCCAGGACTTGAAGTACACTCCAGGCCTTAAAGTACACTAAACACCCTGGCGTACACTCCAGGCACAGAAGTATACTCTAGATCCTGGAATACGCTCTAGGATCTGAATTATACTTCAGACCCTGAAGTACACTCCAGACCTTAAAGTACACTGCAAACCCTGATGTACACTACAGGCCTTAAAGTACACTCCACACTCTGAAGTACACTCCAGACCCATGAGTGAATTTCAATCCCTGAAGCACATTCTAGGCCCCGAGGGACATTTCACACCCTGAGGTTAAGTCCACACCCCTCTAAAGTACACTCCAGACCATGAAGTAGACTTCGCGCTCTGAAATACACTACAGGACCTAAAGTATTCTACTGTCTTTAAACTACTCTCAAGACCCCTGAAATACATTAGAGTATCTGAATTGTACTCCAGACCTTAAACTACATTTTAGACCCTGAAGTACACTGTAGAACCTGAAGCACATTTCAAACCATAAAATACAACTTAGGATTTAGTGTGTACCTCCAGGACCTGAGGTCCACTCTAGGCATTGAAGTACACTCTAAAACATGAATTGCACTCAAGACCTCGAAGAACACTCCAGACCCGGAAAAACACTCAAGACCCTGAAGTACACTCTGAAGTACACTCAAAGACCTGAAGTACACTCCAGATCCTGTAGTACTCTCCAGAACAAGATGTACACTCCAGGCCTTGCAATACACTCCAGACCCTGAAATACACTACCCAAGAAACAATTTTATGTTGCCAGAATGTACCTGGAAAGTTTTTGAGAGCTGTGGCAACATCCGTTTTTAGGTAATCGAAACATTTTTGTGTGGAGTTGTAAATTGGTTGCCACAACTTACTACACAACTTTGGGTAAACAAAAATTGAGACCTTGTGGCAATCTTAAATGTTCCATAAAAGTCGTTTATATTATTGATGAAATATATAGAAACTAAATATATACAAGTAAGTTCAGTTGCATATACTCTTGGGGACCATTCAAGCTTGTTCACATAAAGAAGTAAGTAATTATCAAAAGACGGCGCCAAGCCGGGGAGGCTATGTAACACTATGTCAGTAGTGTGGGATATTTTAAAGGCGGTAAATATCCCTAAGGATGCCAATACGAAAGCAAAAGCGCATAAGGCGAACAACATCAAAGGCATCCGATTCAGCAAGGATACTATCGAGGGACAGGTGTCCGTGAGGGACAGTTGGGAAGCAAGACGCATGCTCAACCTGGAAGTCAGGATAGTCAACAAAGATATGCACTACTGCAGGAGGGACAATGCAATTTGGACAATAAGGAGTGGGGCAGCGCTCCATTAAATGCCCATGAGTTAAACGGGTATGGCCAATATGTAACCTTGCCAGAGCCAATTCCCACCGCCGGTTACAGTGGAAGGAGGAAGGCTGTGGAGACACACTACCTTTAAGAGCATGCAACTTATTACCCGTAACAGAAGACCAGCGATCCTGCAAACGGGCATGGATCGAGGAATGAATAACAGGTTTAGAAGTCGAAATAAGGAACACCTTTGAGGGAAATGGGACAAGTGTGCATCGCCTCCTCCACGGCAGCATCCACACGCTCATTTAAGGAAACACCAATATGGTTGGGAACCCAGCAAAACTCGACTGTTTTATATCTGCTGGAGATAAGAAACAGCCAATATTGAATTTCGACGACCACTGGATAGACAGAATTAAAGGAATCCAGAGCCATGAGGGCACTGCGAGAGTCAACTACAGCAACAAGGAAAAATTACGACGATAAAGAAGTTGACGAAGAACAAACAAAATTGCACAAAGTTCAGCCGTGACAATGCTAGTCTCCGGAGTCAGGCGTCATATATAGGTGCAGCCAGGAAACTCAAAAGAGTGGCCTACACCGTCAGCAGACTTGGACACATCTGTGAAGACGGAGATGGAGGGGAGTGCGAAGAAAAGTGAGCAAGGAAAAGGCGTTTCAGAACTATAGAATGAGTAAAAGCCTTAGTCATGCAGGTCAAGATTTTACAAAACTTAGGAAGAGGGAACCCTTCAAGGGGGGCAAGGACGGATTGACACGAGGAGAAACATTGGCAACACGAGCCGAGAGAAAACTTTGCAAGCGAGACAATCATACAGAAAGTGAAAGGGGGTGAAAGGGAACAGGGCCCCCAGAAAGAGCAAAGGTCAAAGTACGACATGAGCGAGACTGAGGGTGTTGTAGGGAACACGCAAAGTAGCGAAGACAGTAGCGATCACGGCAATCCTGAATAAACAGGATGGTGGTCTCAACATGCAGATTCTGGGTAGGGGTCGAACGAAAGGCACCAGAGCTAAGACAGAGCCCAGTATGGTGAAGAGCATCAAGACGACGAAAGGTGGAGGGAAATGCAGACGAATAAGCAAGACAGCCATAATCGAGTTTAGACAGCATGAGAGTGGAATGTAAAAAAAGGAGTGTGCACCTATCAGTTCCCCAGGAAGTATAGGACAAGACTTTAAGTAAGTTCAGGGCCTTAGAGCATTCAACTCGGATACAGGAGATATAAGGTGACCAGGAGAAGCGCGTGTCAAAGATAAACCCAAGAAGTTTAGCAGAATCCTTATACAAAAGATGAATACCACAAAACGACAGAGAAGGTCGAAGGACAACCTACTTCCGAGTAAAGGTCATAACACAAGTCTTAGCCGGAGTGAACTTGAAGCCGTCATTGGTGGCCCAGGACAACACGACATCAGTAGTAATTTGAAGCCACCATTGGAGGAAAGGGGAGTCATCACCTTGACAGCAGAGGGTAAAATCTTCAACATAAAGAGCAGATAAAATGTCAGAGCGAAGGGAGGAAAGAAGACCATTGAGGGCAACTAGGAAAAGAGTATTGCTGAAAACATTACCTTGGAGCACACTTTCATATAGCCGAAAAGAAGCAGAGAGAGCGGTACCAAGCCGCACTCGAAATGAACGACGAGAGAGGAAGCCCTGGAGGAAGAAAGAGAGATTACCACGAAAGCCAAAAGAACGGAGTTGGGACAGAATATGGTATCGCCAGGTGTTATCATACGCCTTTTCCAGGTAAAGAAGGACTGCAACGACGGAGCTCTTCGCAGCAACGGCAGTACGAGTGTAAACCTCGAAGTTCACGAGGACATCAGTCTTGCTGCGATACTTGTGAATGCCAAATTGAGAAGGGAACAGGTGATACCGTTCCAAGAACCACATCAGACGGACATTGACCATACGCTCAAAGAGTTTGCAGACGCAACTCGTGAGAGCAATGGAGCGGAAGTAAGTAATTATCAAAGAAGGCACCAAGCCGGGAAGGCTATGTAGCATCATAATGGGGCGGAATACTTTAGGAAATGACCCTAGAGAACTAGGTTTCCGAATAGGAAGAACAATCGCCTCAAGCCAGTCCTCAGGGACTGACGACGACTCCCAGACACGGTTATAAACACTCAACAAATACTGAAACGTGCATAGAGGGAGAAAGCGAAGCATCTCAATATCATTCAAGCCCTCTGTCATAGAACTGCAGAGGGCCAGGGCAGACTGGAGTTCTGAGAGAGAGAAAGGATTGTTATAGGGAAGTCAAAGAGAAGTGCAAAAATCTAAGGGGAAAGATTCAAGAAGGGGTTTACGAGTAAGGAAAGAAGGAGGAAGATGAGAGCCGGAGCTAACAGTTGAAAAGTGAATACCCAGTTCGGTCGCAACCGACACCGGATCCACTACAATAAAACCATAGAGGTAGGTGATGGGCAGGCGAACAATCCGGAAAAAACTTATCTTTTATTTCGTAGATTTTCTTCTAGATCAGGGGGCAGAGGAGTGTTAGACGTAATGGTGCAAACGAAAGATCTCCAACCTTCACATTTAGCCCTATGGATGGCCCTACGGTCCACCGCACTTGCCCTCCGATACAAACGAAAGAAACTGGCATTATAAATCAATGGTGTTTCTTCCAGGCTGCACGCTTACAGCAGACAGCTCGAACAGAGTCTGCATTCCACCAGGGAACGCACTACCACGCGCCCCTGGAGGTAGAATGAGGAACAGTGAAGAGGGTAGCGTCAAAAACTGTGTCATGAGGAGGAGGACGCGGGAGTGAGGCAGATCAGAGAGGTTGGAAAGAGTATCATGCAAGGTGAAGAGGTTTCAGTCAGCCCTGGGAAACTGCCACATAGGGAAGGAGAGAGGAGGAGGGGGCGAAAAGAGGTGACAAAGATGTGGAAATGGTCACTGTTATGTAGGTCATCAAGAACCCGCCTGGTGAGGTACAAATAAAGAGAAGACGAACAGAGAGAAAGATTAAGACATGAAAGTGTACGAGTGCAGGACTCAACATGAGTGGGCTCACCAGAATTCAGGAGAGGCAGAGAAGAAGAGAGGACAAAAGGTTCAAGAAGGCGTCCATGGGTGTTTGTCAGGACATTACCCCAGAGGGTATGCCGACCGTAAATATCACCCAAAAGGAGAACAGGCTCTGGTAAGGAGTCCTACAGGTATTTAAGATCAGGAAGAGAAAGTAGGACATTCGGGGGGAGATAAACGGAACAGACTGTATACCATATACTCACGAAGACATGGGCAGCAGAACACTGAATGGGCTACTGAAAAAG